TTCCCTTCCCGCTCCGGCGCTGTGGGGGTTTCCCCTCCCGCTCCCGGCACTGTGGCGGGTTTCCCTTCCCGCTCCGGGCGCTGTGGGGGTTTCCCCTCCCGCTCCCGGGCGCTGTGGCCGGTTTCCCCTCCCGCTCCCAGGCACTGTGGCGGGTTTCCCCTCCCGCTCCCGGGCGCTGTGGCCGGTTTCCCCTCCAGCTCCCGGGCGCTGTGGCCGGTTTCCCCTCCCGCTCCCAGGCGCTGCCCATTCCCCTCTGAGCCACTGCCCCTCCTTGCAGCCGCTGTGGCTGGGCTTGCCCTCCCACCTCCCACCTCCCACCTCCCACCTCCCACCTCTGTAGCCTTGGCTCCGTTTCTGTCCTCGAGGCCTCTACTTAGCTCCTTTCTGTACCTCTTGGCCTCCATGTTGTCCTCAGTCTTCCCTCACAACTGGTATATGCAAATTAACCGCCATTTTTAGCTTCTATAATTGAAACATTGTATCTTTTGGAGCTGTTGCTTCAGGAGCTCAGAGCCAGGCAGCAGCAGGCCTGGGAACCTTGGCTTCCTCCGTCACTGGAGCAAGCAAGCCTCCTGTTCCGCTTCCAGCTGCCTGGCTGCCGGCCGCCATCTTGGCTGACAGTTAATTTGCATAGGATATGCTGATTAGCCAATGGGAAGGGTAGCGGTCGTACGCCAATTACCATGTTTCTCTTTTATTAGTGTAGATAGATAAAGCTATAGCCAACACATTAAAACTGTCTTCACACACAAAAAGATTTGAAACAATTTACTTCAATTCAGTTTCACAAACATTTTATTGAATACATTCATGTATTTTTGAGAACTTAATACATTTTAAAAATTTAATGAAGCCCACATGATGAATATGAATATGCTCAAAGAATAATTCTATAGAATGAAACATACCTCAACTCTAGCAAAATCAGTTATGAAGTACTAAGAAACGCAATTACTATTCTCAATCTGAATATAATAAAAAAATTTAATATTTCTACAGCACCATGATAAAACTGAGTAAAGAAATAATAATTTACTTTTAAATCTATCTCAACCCATACACCTTTGTTGAAATAATTGAAGGATGCACATGTAAGCTATCAAAACTCTTAAAATAAAAGTATGCTTGAATATCCCACCTTGAGAACAATGCATAATAAAAATGTACAAGAGTCACCAGTAACTATAGTATTTTCAAAACATTTGCCTTTATCGAAAGGATTTTCTTTTAAAAATTAAAAAAAAAATTAATTTCAGAAAGGAAGGAAGAGGAAGAGATAGGTAGA